GAACAACAAACACAGTCAAAATCGGATACAACGAGACTTCCTATCCATCGGGTCATGTTTTCATCGTTATAACAAGTTATCGTCATGTTCTGGTCGCGTAGCGAAATTCAGCCCGATTGTTCGAAATAAGCACATTTTATTTCTTATTACATAAACAATGTTGATTAGATGTCGCTTATTGGTTGTGATATTAGATGATATGCCTATTGCGAAATGGGTTACGAAAAAAAAATGCTGTACAAGACACTATTGATATTCAGTTTTATTGGAAAATAAAAAAGATTAATGATAATACAATCTACATTCTGGTAACAAATCGTCTAACATTGACTGTTTCTTATCATTGACATAATGAACATGCGATATAGTGGGAAAAAATTCCAAGTTCTATCAATGAATCGCCGTCGTTAAATGATAATTCACAACGGCTTAATTATTAATGTATGATAAAAATATATATCGGTCGCTATTAACCATTCAAACATTTGGGAGGTCAACTTTTTTGGTTGCACACTGTATATTATATATGAATAGATAATGAGATAGAAAGTATTTAGTCAGCTTACAGACAGTTTGTCGACATTTCTTAAAGTTGGACAAGCAGAATATTATAGACCAAACATATAGAATGCATGCGACAACAGCACTACGACATATTTTCAAGGTTGCTTTCAGATTATAAGACCGATCCATAAATATCGTTCTAGCAATAATGAGGTAGAATAATTCTTAATCAGGCCCCCGAATTTGCAATATTAAATGGAAGCCTAACGATATGATACGATTCATGGTTATTTAGACAATATTTCTAGAGCACTCCCCCAGTAACCAATTGTTCCTTGTTCAAAATCATGTGTCTCGGAATAATATATTATAATATTCGCTTGCTTACAAATGGACACTAAATAGTATAATATGCGTAATAGATACATTATTACAGGTGAATATATGCACATTAATTATGAATAAGGGCAACGGATAACAAAAGGATAATGAACATCTGCTGATAGAACACGTGCTTAACAAAAATCACCAATTCCTTGCCGTCTGAGAGACTCTCATCCAGGCCCAGACTACAAATCCGCCAACAGCAAATCCCTGTGAAAATCGGTGTTGGGGTATCTTTTCCATCACTTCGCGTTTTAACAGCCAAAGTCCTGTGAGAATGCGAGATAAAGAAAAAGGCCGAGAAAAAATATAGGACCAGGAGAAGCGCTGTACGGAATCCCCAGAGTTTGGAAGAGGAAGGCAAGGTTCGGTGATGCCGCTGTGGGATTGAGGATCGGTCGACGCATCGACCGTGTTCTGTTGATCCAAGTCTATCCTGATTTCATCTTGCAATTTCATAAATTGTGATTGAATAAAAGTCTTGTCTTCCGTAGATAACGGACTAACTGAGTTTGTTGTTGTAATAGAGGTGAGTAAGAAGGGTTTCTCATTAATTGGTGAAGGCGTACGAGGTGAAGAAATAGAAGAAGAGGAAGAAATCGGAGTATCCGGGAGAAGATCTGTACGCAGAATGGAATAATGAATGTTGTTAAAGACTTTAAGAACTGTCATGAATTGATTCGACGTGTTTCAATTGATCGGATGATTGACTATGAAACTTTTTTTTTTCACCTTGACAATAACTTACCACTCTCATCCTCACTCTTCAAGTCTATATCCTCATCTTCCAGGTCTTCAATTTCATCTTCTTCAACAATATCTTTACAATCTTTATTAATTCCTAATATTTTGTCCTTTAAACTCTGCCTTCGGAGAGCTTTAACGCCCATCATGATCAGTTTAATCCATCTTTCATTAAAACCCATATATCTTAAATTCTCTTCTTTC